AAATGCCCCTTCAGCATCTCAGTAGGAATTCTGTGGGTTCAGTACACCAGTCAGAAGAAAGCAGAAAGTGGAAGAAGCAAAGAAAATAGGCTGCTTGAGGCCAGCAGATGATGGTCTGTCTGTAGATTTCCCAAAGAGAAAACAGGACGGGGTTTCTGAACCTTTAAGAGGTGCAGAACCATTAAAGCATGGGTGGGCAGCAGTGGAAAAATGGCAGCCTCCTGCCACAGTGCACCCAACACATCAAAAGCAACGTCACCTCCAATTTCAGTGTTGTTGTTGTGTGCCTTCAGGTCATTTTCGATCTGGCGACCGTAAGGCTTCATGGGGTTTTCTTGGCAAGACTTGTTCAAAGGAGGTTTGCCATTGCCTTCCCCTGAGGCTGAGAGAGTGTGACTTGCCCAAGGTCAGCCAAAGGATTTCCATACTGAGCTGGGAATCGAATCTTGGTCTCCAGAGTCCTAGACCAACACTCAAACTACTATGCCACAATGGCTCTCCCACTTTCAATATCAGCTCATTTTTCGTCATTTGTCTGATTTTTTCCCCCAAAAAAGATTTTGGGGTACATGAGAACTTTGGGACAAAACTATTGCATTTTGTAGTGGTTTTGACCCATTTTGAGACATGGTGGTGGAAAAACTGGAAATATTTTTTAAATGGTGGTGGTGGGGGTTTCCTAGGAATTTTGGGAGTGTTCAGAGTGCACACTTTGGAGCTCCATGTGGACCACAGACCACACTTTGTCCATCCAGCCTTAAAGGTCCTATTTTTCACCTGGCAACCCTTTCTGCCTTTCCCTCCCAGTTGCATGATCCAAGAAAGCACCACTGCTGGTTTAGCACATGGACAGGGTTTACGCCGCAGCATCCTGTTTTCAAAACAGAGGAGGCAAGAACGAAAATGAAAAGTTTGGCTAGAAATCCGGCTCGTGTCTCGCACATACGTAAATTTCCACCCTGGAAATGGTTGGACATTTTTGTCCAATGCATTCAGCTCAAGGTTGTGGAAGTGGAATTGTGCATATGGCCTTATTGAGGATGCTGATGTGAATGACACAGATAGCTGTACATGCGCAATCATTTGTACATTCGCTTGCGCATTCAGGTATGCTGCAACTGACATTTGGCACAAGGGTTGTGTAGCACAGTGCATAAACCTATAGCTGGAAATTGACATTATGCAACCCTAGCATAGAATCTCACTCTCTGTTTTAAAGTGATCTGTGCTACAGAGACTGAATTTTTAACCTGAGTGGTGGTGAGCATTTCCAGGCCACCATCCAACATTTCAAGTTCAAATGCAACTTGAAAGGCGTACACCTATTTTCAGGAAAGTGAGGGGCAAATGAGCTCAGTCAGACACTGTACCTTCCCCTTACATTTTCATAATGTGTGGTGTCACACACACACAACAATTCTGTACCACTCTTGCAACTTGCACACTTGCAACGTGAAACTGTGAGCAACTTGGCAGGGACAGGCCTGATTCATTCTCCATCATCCCACTTTTTCAGAGACCTTTAAAATGTCCCCGTTTCTCTCTCCTTCTCCCCTTTTCCTCCTTAGTCCCCTTTGTCAGTCCAGCAAGATCCCAAGATCAGAAAACCAGGCTTCAGTAGTTAAAAGTAAACAAACGAAATAACTTTATTAACAAACTATAGATCCAGTCCAGTGACATTCACTGTCAGAACTGACCAGCAAACATTACAATCGTCTAATTAAACTTGTCCTCAGCTTACATCCATTGCTGCAACCTGAATTCAAAGTGCAAAAATTGTTTGCGTGCAATTAACTCAAGAACAGGGAGAGAAGAGGCCAGAACCTTGCCCTTCCCAGTTGGCTCAAGCAAAAGCAACCTGCTGCAGCCTCTCCTAGTTTATGTATTCTTTATTAATGACTTTTTGACCTCTTGACCTCTTGATGTCGCTTGCCCCCATGTGCCCTCCTGTGTCAAAATAAATTAGCAGGGAATTCCAGGGCCCTCAAAATGGTCTTGGAGGCCATGGGAGGTCATGGCTCCACTTTTCCCACCCTGCTTTAAACCCTGGGCATCCAATGTTGTGCTAGGAGTCGGTTAGGGTTAAATTCCCTTGCAAGACCCAGCAGCATCTCTGAGCACCACATCTTCCTGACAGAGGCAGCCCCCAAAAGGCAATTTCTTTTCCTCCTGTTCTGCCACCGCCACCCCCTTCAGCCATAGTGCGCATGCGCCAAGCCCTTGAGCCCCACTCAAAGGAAAAGTCTGTGATGTTTAGATTAGAGGATAATGTGCTGGAAATAATTGCCTTAATCAAGAAAGGTTAATTAGGCTGTCTGTGTGTACAACGGTGCAGGGTGTTATCACAGCGCCGGGTTCATGCGCGTGGCACTCACGCCTTCACCTCGGCGTTAATTAGAGATGCGCTCTGAGCAGCCGTAAGCAACCCTTGGAATCTCCCGGCAACAACTTTGCAGGGCTGGATTTCAGCACGATCCCCTGGTGCGCATGCAAGCATGCACACGTTTGTATCTGTCCTCAGCAGTGTCTTTATTGACCATAGCAAGGCTTTTGGCAGCATAGATCACAAAAAGTTATGGAATGCTCTCGAAGAGCTGCATTTCATAGTCCGGATGAGGAAGACAAGAGGCAACTGTAAGAACAGAAGATGGAGAAACAGAATGGTTCCCAATTGGCAAAGGGGTCTGGCAAGGCTGCATTCTTTTACGATATTTGTTCAACTTGTATGCAGAACATATTATAAGAAAAGCAGGCTTGGACACAGAAGGAGGAGTGAAAATAGGAGGAAGGAATATCAACCATCTAAGGTATGCAGATGACACCATACTACTAGCAGAAACCAAAAAAAGACTTGGAACAATCACTAAAGAAAGTCAAAGAAGAAAATGCAAAGGCAGGCCTAATGTTAAACATAAAGAAAACAAAAATAATGAGCATAAATGATCTACACAAATTCAACCTAGACTAAGGAATTTATCACTTGCGTTCTCTCCCCATTCCGCGCCATTCCGTTCTGTTCAGTTCCCGTTCCTGAAACTGTTGTGTGATAAACTCACATGTTCCAATTATTGTTGTTGTCATCTTCGTTATGTGTTTTCAAGTTGACTCTGACTTTGGGCAACCCTGTCACAGGGTTTTCTTGGCTAGACTAAGTGAGAATTTCTCCATTGCCTTCTCTAAAGCACAGAGAGTGTGACTTTGCCCCCAGGTTGCTCCATGGGTTTCCATGGCTGAGAAGGGATTTGAACCCTGATCTTCCAGGCTCCTAGTCCAGCACCCCAAAGCCTCTAAAAATATAGCCACTCTATCCTAGGGCTATCACAGCAAGATTGAGTCATTGGTTTGTCATTGTCCTGCAGATTCTGCTGGATGTCAAAGAGCATCACTGCAACACCCATCATCTACACACTGACAAAGGGTTATGGGCCCAGCACGTTTCCACTGGTAACAACTTTGAAAATGTTTTATGTGCTGTATCTATGGGAAAGTTTCTGTTTATGCTGTGGAGCCATCTGGTGCTAGATTAAGTCCTTTTTACCACTTAAAACTTTCTCATGGAAAACTCCATACATCTTGTACATTTCCATCACTCTATATCCCATGCGTAACTTGACAGTCATTGCTTTCCTCTGAGGCTGAGAGAGTGTGACTTGCCAAAGGCCACCCACCAAGTTTCCAGGGCTGAGCAAAGATTTGAACCCTCTCTCTCTCTCTTTCTAAGACTCTTAGTTCTACATTCAAATAAGAATATCATGTTGGTTCTTCCTTATGTAGCTTCAAAATTGACCTAGACATATGGCAACCCTATCACCAAGTTTTTCTTGGCAAGATTTATTCAGAGAGGTTTTGCCAC